TTGTTGATTACTACTTTTTGTTACTTCTACTGTTTCCCCCTCTTTTGTTTTTAATCTAGCGATTAACTCACTTTTTGCAGCTGACAGTTATGCCACATAGCCGGCATTTGATCTGACCAGGTCCGGGAATCTCTGGCGGTGGTGAAGTCGCCTTCGGTGGTGGCTAAAACATCAAATTTAGAGAAAACCCCTAAACCCCTAACCCCTAAACCCCTATTTCACCTACCCCATTGATTATTCTAACATCTTTGGCTGGTTCTCCTTTACCAAACAAGGTCGACAGCACAGTATTGAAATGATCCATCGATGCCGGAGGTGGTGTTTCCGATTCGATGGAGCCACCCCGAGATGATGCAGCGTGGTTGTCTTCCGGAAGTGATAGGCAAGGGATGGTGTCCGAGCTGGAAAAATTTCATACATGGGGCAAATGCCATAACTAAAAGACCAAACACACCTAGCCGCTGTAACTTCGCCATTAGTGCCAAAGGTAGTTGCCGCTGGTTGAACCGTGGAATTTTGTGAGGTAGACGGTGTCGTGAGCGGTGATGTGTTGTCGTGACGTGAGGTACGTGATGGTGATGAGGTGTCTCGAAGTTCCGTTAGAAATTCGAATGGTGAGGTGACAAAAGAAATATCGCAGATGCCTTGTGAGAGCTGGAAATAGACGAATTTATGTACAAGCCAGATTTCGTTAAAAAAATCTTCGAAAGTGCCGTGGGATGCTTTCCAAGCAAATTTGTGTTCCTAAACGCGACTTTAACTACATAAATGCATATTGTTAAGTATCAACTGAGCCAATGTCCAACCGCCAAGTCTGGCAACATCGCACTCGGTTGTCCGCACGAAAATCATGCGGTACAAGAGACTTCGAAATCACTCGTTTCAAATAAAAAACTCTGCAGCCCTCAATTTTGACAAAGGAATCTGTTACTTAGATTTGCTAAAAGCGTCACAAAGATGATTCCATTATGCGCTCTTCAAAGAAGCGGAGGTCACAGTACGAATTATTTTACTTAGCATTAAAAGAAAAGAAGGATAAAGGATTCGGCGTCTTCAATACTCTGCGAACAAGTGCCAAACCACTCAACTTCATAGTCGAAGAGGCAACTGTATGCGTGCAAGCCTACAGCAGTGACTTGCGGGGGCAGCTGTTTACCAAGTCAGTGCTTTTATCCTCCCAGATTACTCCGGTACCAAATTACCGGTACCCAGAAGGTAAACGGCTTGGTTGGCCCAGCGGCGGATCGAGCCTGTGTCCGATCTGATCATAGCGGCCTCTCATACCACTACGCCGCTCGTCCTCTTGCTGTGCTTGAATCCACCAAGTATAAAAGCGCTGGGACGATTAATCACAAGATTCTGCTCTTTCGCCTTTCTCCAGAAAATTCGTATTACCACAATACGGACTAAGGATACCGTAACATCACACTGCTTACTGTATTCTGAGGTTAAAGGCGATCTCACATTAGCTCAATTCTTT